CCCTTTGCCCCCCCCCCTCAGGGGCTTCCCCCACCTACCCTGTAACAAAACCTCGTTGTCCGGTTGGCACGTCAGCAGACACTACAATGAGGTGACCGTAAAAGTGTCCTCGGGGTGTTGTTGTTGCTCTACCATGGGTCCCAAAAACCCGCTCTTCTGGGTGGGGGCCATGACGGGGTGCCCTTGGGGTGCAAAACTGGGGTACCTGTAGTTGTCCTGCAGCTGCAGCATTGAGTCTCTCGGTACGGGGGAGATGTTCAAGTCATTGATCAAGGGACAAGCGTAGGGTCCTCGATGGTGAGCCCGGGCCATCTCCAAGGGTTCCTTCTCGCCCTTGGAGGGGTGGGGGCCACCTGGGCTGCTCAAGTGGGGGTTGAGACACGGGGGGTCCGTCCTGCCCATGAAGTCCACCAACATCCCGGCCCCCGCTTTGCCGTCGTAGGAGGGGCTCCGGGTGCTGGCGTTGGGGGAATACCAGTAAGGTGGGTTTTTGCAACTGGGGGAATCGTAGTGGGGTTGAGGCATGGGGAGATCGCGGCAAGCCAGGTGGGGGGCGTGCGGCAGGGCCCCCCCCTGCATGCTGTGTTTGAGCGAGTCGCAGGCGGGCAGCTTGCGGATGTCCCCCGCCCGGAGGTCCTCCTTGAAGGCCAAAGTCGGGGAGCAGTTGGGCGAGAAGGCTTTCTGCAAGCCGGCCTCGAAGACAGTCTGCTGGCCGGGGGGGGCCGCCAGCTGGTGGGGGAGGGCAGGGAAGTGCTTGCTCTCCAAATCCGCCTGCCCCAAACCTGGGGAGTCGCTCTGAAAACCTTGGACGAAGGTCCCGTCCGAAGGGGTGGAAGGGTTCATGGAGTAAGGGCCGGCGTAGTCGCAGGGGTCCCGCTCGCCCACCCCGAAGCCCCGGGACTGGGAGGGCAGGGGGGACATGCTGCTGTCCCCGCTGTAGTAGTCCAAGCCCAGGTCCGTGCTCTCCTGGAAGAGGGGGTTGACCGCCTGCGACTTGGTGGGGAACTTGGCCTTGCCCGTCCCCCTCTCCTTCTTGGAGGCGCAAGCCCCCCGGGAACCTCGGGGTTGCCGGGGTCCCGTGTTCCTCTTGGAGGGGTAGACGGAGGAAGAGGAGGAAGAAGAGGAGAAGTTCAGGTGGGAGGTGTCAAACATGTCCACCTTCTTCCGTCGGCCCCGACCGGGCTTGGAGTTGCTCTGGAAGAGGACGCTCTGGTTCCAGTTGTAGCCCGGGGCGGAGGATGCCTCGTTCCAGTCCATCATCAGCTTCTCCAGGCTGGAGAGACTGGACTGGCCCTCACTGGAGGAAGCCTCGCTGTTGGCGCGCCGGTAACCGGCCGGCTGGTTGAACTGGGTGCTGTCAGAGGAGGACTCGGAGAAGGTCTCCGAGACCGTCTGCTGCTTGGCTTTCTGCGGGGTGTAGTTGGAGATGTCCAGGATGACGTTGGGCTCGTTGAGGTGGCACTCGAAACCCGGGTTGTAGAGTTGGCTGAAGGCTTCCGAGCTCCAGTCCAACCCGCCGTAGCCTTGCCGGAAAGCCCACGGCGCGGCGCCGGGGAACTGCCGGCAATTTTCGGGCGAGGGCTGGAAAGAAGCCGAACCCTTGGGCACCATGTAGCCGCCAGGCGAGACGGTGCTGGCCCGGCTGTCGCATCTCAAGGGGGTGTGCGCTGCGCTGGAGAACTGTCCCCCTCCTTGCTCGGCGCTGTTGAAGAAGGCGGCTTTGCCCAGTGGCAAACTGGGACCGGCCGTCTGGGGCGCGTAGCCGGCGCTGTGGGCGCTGCTGGGGGAGGACGGGAGGCTGCTGCCGCTGCCGTAGGCGAAGCTGCAGTCCTTGCTGTTGGGACAATCCTGCGCCGACGGGTACTGCTTCCCCGGCGGGAAGACGCTGGCGGGCGCCACGCTTTGCCCGGCCCCGTAGTTGCCGTAGGGGGAGTAGCCGGGGGTCCCGCTGGCCGCCGGGTGAGCCGTGGGCGACCGGGAGACGGCGGAGGGTGGTGCCAGTTTGGGGAAGGACTCGGCACCCCGGCATTCCGATGAGGCTTGGGATACCCCGTAGCCGGCGGCGGGGCGGCCGGGAGGGAACGCAGGCCGGCCTTGCATGGCGGCGTGGAAAGCGGCCTCGGCGCCGGGGGTGGCCGCCGCCACCTTGCCCCCCCGGGATGGGTAGGCCGCTAGGCCCCGCTGGCCGGGCAAGGTGGCCGGGGGAGCAGTGTAGGCGGCCGCCGACTTGCGGGATTCGGAGCGGGAAGCCGAGAGGGCGAAATCCAACAGGTCGGAGGAATCGTCCGAGTCCAGCAAGGAGCGAAAGTAGCCGGTGAAGAGGCTGTGCCTCTCCGGGCCGGCCTCCGTTTGCGAGGACGGTGCATTCCCGGCGTAGAAACCGGCCCGGCCGGAGGAGCCCGACTCCATCCCGGCAGCGTGGAAAGGCCTGGCCTCGGCACCTTGGTAGCCGCCATTACGGCCGGCCTGGCCGCCGGGGTGGCCGTGATGGGGGGCCCAAGGGCTGCCCTTCTCCCCACTGGCCCACTCGGCGGGGCCGTCGCCGAAGCTCTGCCCAGGGTTGGGCTCGGGGAAGAGGGCCCCGTTCTTGCGGGCCCGTCTTTTCCGCTTGGGTTTGCCCACGGGGTCGGGCTCCGGCCTTCCCCGCTTACGGGGGTGCACGGCGTCGGCGTGGAGGGCGGTGGGGGCTTTCTTCTTCTTCCCGATGCCCTCGAAGAAATCGCTGAAGGAGCAACGGGCAGCACGGGCGGCGTGCCCCCCCCCGCGCCCGCCGAAACCCCCCGCTTTGCCCCCGCGCCGGCGGAAACCTTGGACGCGGTGCAAGAAGTGGGAGATGCTCTGGGTGTCGGGGGCTTGGTGGATGGACTCGGGCTCGCTGGGGGTCCAGCAGCGCGGCGGGGAGCAGCGCCCCGAGCACTGGCTCTGCCGGTTGAGGAAGGCCAGCTTGGCCAGCACGTCCGAGTAGTCGGCTTTGCTGTCGTTGGTGTCGGCGATGTAGGATGGCTGAGGGGAAGCCAGCTTCTGCTTCCTCCTCCTCCTCTTCTTCACCTCCGGGGCGGGCTCCTTGGGCTTGGCTTGACCCAGCAGCAGGTTCTTAGGAGGCCTCCCCCTCTTCCTCTTCAGAATGATGGGCATCTCTCCAGGGGGGAAGACCACCACTACGTTGCGCCCGTTGTTCTTCATCTTGAGCAGCGGCGTGGGCTCCATGGAGCTGCTGGCCGCCAGCTCCTTGCCCTCCAGGTTCAGGTTGCTGCTGAGCGATGACACCTTGTAGGTGGTCTTGTTCCTCCTCCCCAGGGACACGGGGATCTTGGCCATCTTCACCACCATCTTCCTCACCCCCCGGCACTTGCTCTTCTTCCCCGTCGCTGGAGGCTTGGGCACCTCGTCGGGGTCTAGGGTGGTGGTGGTGGGGGGCGGCGGAGGCGGCGGGGGGGCCAGCAGCGGGGCGCTGGGTTCCTCGGGGCCGGGGGGCACCTCGGCGGGCAGGGCGAGGGGGGACAGGACGCGGCTCTCGGGGGTGATGTCCACCCGCCGCCCTCGCCCTGCCCTCCTCCGGCGGCACAGCATCTTTGGCTTGTCTGTCCGGCGCAGGGCGTACTTGCGGTGGTCCTCGCCGCACCTCCCGGCCCCCCGCCCCCCACAGGGTCCCCGTTTCACCACGCTGCCCAAAGGACAACCCCCCAGCCGGGCTTGCAGCCCGTGGGGCCGCAGCGGCTCCCCGGAGCCCGGCTGAGCCTCCAGCAGCTCCGACACGGTCCCCAAGGGCTGCGTCTCCAGCAGCGAGGGCTCGGTGGGCAGAAGAGGGGCCCGGGCATCCAGCAGCGGCGTCTCCAGCGTCCCCGGCAGCGGCTCCAGCGTCTGCAGCCCCAGGGGCTCCGCCAGCGGCTCCAGCGACTGCAGCTCCAGCGACTCGGATAAAGGCTCCAGCGACTGCAGCTCCAACGATTCCGAGAGGGGCTCCAGCGACTGCAGCCCCAACGGCTCCAGGTTTTGCAGCTCCAACGATTCCGGCAGCGGCTCCAGGCTCTGCGAATCCAGCAGCTGAGGCTGCGACTCCAGGGATTGGGAATCCAGCAGCCGGGATTGGGAGTCCAGCTCTTGGGCCGGCAGCAATTGGGGCTGCGGCTCCATGGCCTGCGACTCCAGCAGCTGCGTCCCCGGGCAAGCCAAGGAGGCCAGTTCGTTAAGGATGTCCGCCTCGGCCAGATCCGAGTAATCACCGGCCTCGGGTTGGGAACAACCGGCTTCCTCCGCCGGCGCTTTGGAGGCGCCCCCCCCCACGCCTCCGCTGTGGCCGGGGGGCTGCGGGGCGCTCCCCCCACCTCCCTCGGCTTCTCCTTCGCGGGCTGGGGGCTGGGGGTGCCGGGGAGGCTCAGTTTTGCAGAGCACCCCCCGTTCCTCGGGGCTGCGGATGCTGTTGGCCAGGGAGGGCGAGGAGAAGAAGCTGTACTGGAGGTCGCGGTCAGCGGGGAGGAGGCGGCTGTCCTCGTGGCCACCGCCGCCCCCGCGCAGGTTGCCGCAGTCCAGGTGCACCCCGCTGCTCTTGAGGTCCTCGGAGAGGCGGTTGAGGTCCTTCATGATGTCGATGAGCTGCACCACGGGGTGGAGGTTGATGTGCCCGTTGCCGCACTTGCTGCGGAGCAAGGCGAGGATGCCTTCGACGTTACAGCGGCCCGAGGCCAGCGTCGCGTTGGGGAAGGTTTTGGGCGCCCGGTCACGGGCGGTTGCTTCTTCCCCGCTACCCCCCAGGATCCGGGGTTCCCCGGCGCAGCCCAGCAAATCCTCTGCTGCTTTGGTGCCCCCGTGAACGCCCTGGCACCGGTCGGCCGGGTCGCCGTGCAGCAGCAGCGAGCCCGCCTGGTGCTCCCGGCCGAGCGCGGGGCAGGAGCCCTCAGGGAAGCTCAGGACGCTGCAGGATAAGGCTTTTTCCGCCGGGCAAGCCGGGGGCCGTTGGACCGGGTGCCCCGGCGGGTAGAATTTGGGCTCTCGGACGTAGTCGGGGGAGCCACGTACAACGCTGGTCGTTACCACTGGGCCCGGGGGCTTCACGCGCATCCTGACCTCCTCCTCCCCCGCGTGCCGCTTGGCCGAGCAGTTGCTGACATGGGGGTCGGGGAAGGTGACACCGGGACCTGTGTGGGGCAGAGAGAGAAGGGTGGTGGTGGTGGGGGGACACACACGACGACAGTGGGGTTCCGAGGGCACCCCAAAGCAGCCGGCAGCACCTCGCTCCATCCCTGTTGCCCACCCGCATCATCCCTGTCCCATCACCAGCTGGGGAACCCGACCCCCACCACCCCACAGCCCTCAGTGGTGGGGAAATGGGGTCTGGCCCCCCCATCCCCTGCGCCCCCTCCCTTTCTCGGGGGATGCACTCCCCACATTAGGACCACCCGTGCCACCCCCAACTCCCCCCAAAGGTCCAGGGGACCCTCCCTGGGGGTCCAGGCTGCCCTGTCGTCTCCTCCCCGCCGTGGGGCAGGGCTGCGGGGGGGTGGGGGTTTGGGGACATCGTGGGGACAGGGCTGGGGGGG